GTAAATGTTGTATTATAATTAATAAATATTAATTAACTATAATTAAATTAATTGTTCCATCATTTTAGAGTATTCTGGGGCACCTGAGGCATCTGGAGCATGACCTGTGGCCTTTGGTTAGGGCTCTTGTAATACTAAACAACTATATTTTTAGATATTTCAACTACTATTAGCTATAATAAACCTAAAGTTGCATATGCGGGCGGCTGCGCCGCCCGATTTAAGTGGTTATACGTATATGTAGATGCGGAGATTATCTTTATTATTTACATATATGTAATAATTATTATGACGTTGATACAATTTTAATATATATAGCAATAGGGTATATATAAATTTGAAATTTTATTAATTTTATTTTATGAAGTAATTGTCTTTTTTTATGTATTATATAGTGAAATGTTTATATGTATGTTTTTAAGTTATAAATTTTTTTTTTGCTAAAAAAAATGTGAGCTTGGTCTATTTAATAGTAATGGTTCACGGGCTTTTTGATCTAAACATTCATATTCTTTTATCATGGATTGGTCTGTTATAAATGCGGTATGATCTAATGATTGTATTTTTACTTGGTCCTATTTAGTGCAATGACTTAGCGCTACATAAGCTTGTCCAGGTGCGAATATTTGATTATTTAGATTTAATGATACATCGGGAAGCGTAAGCCCCTGTGTTTTATAGACAGTTAAGGCGAATGCGTTTTGTATTGGGAATTGGGTATGGCTAGCAGGTATGCCATTTATGTTAAAATTACAGGTAAATTTAGAAAATGAAACATTTATTATGGCTCCTTCTATGCAGAAGCTAACATATACAAGGTCTGAGTCTAGGTCGAGGTCTGTAATGACACCTATGGTGCCATTTGCTATTCGATGTTGGTATTGGAAGTTATTAAGAAATATGACTCTTGCACCTGGTTGGATCCTAATTGATTTAGGTAAATTTGTTTTGTTTTTGAAATCGTTAAGTCTTGAGTTATCGTTGCATATTTGATTGTTAACAATGTCAATACAATTTGAGATCATGAATTTGTTTTTTTGTGTAGGAATCATAATGCATATTAGTCTATTAATTAGGTCTGCATTTTCTCTGTATCCTACTATGTATATGGTGTTTAGAGTGGTGTTTAATTCAGATGATTGGAGAGTATTGTTTTTTTTCTGAGTTAGTAGGTGCCATGTTTCATTGTCAATTTTACCTATGCAGATTTTCTGTAGTAGGTTGAAAAATTCTATGTCCTGATTTTGTCTCTGAGGTTCACGGAGAAATAACGAGTAAAAAAGTTTCCATATTAGAGATTGATAGATAGAGGAACCGGAGACTGGAGGTAGTTGTGCTAAGTCACCGACTAAGATGATGTTTATACCTCCAAATGGATTGTTGTTTTTGTGTAGGAATTCGAAAAGTTCAGAGATGTATGTCAGGAGTTGGTCTGATATCATGGAGGCTTTATCGATAATGAGAGTATCGATTTGAAGAAGAAAATTATTTAATTCATCATCATGAAATGCAAGGGTGTGAAATCCTCGTTCGTTGAAGGTGATTCGTAATGTGGAATGAATAGTTGAACCGCCAATGTTTTGGGCAGCAATTCCAGTTGGAGCCATTAATAAGTAGTTCCTGCCTATTTTTTTGAAATCTTCTATTAATAAATGTATTATGTAGGATTTACCAGTACCTGCTGGGCTCATAATGAAAAAAAAAGGATAATAAGACCTGTTTCGTGGTCCCAAGTAATTAGCTATTGTTTGTCAACAATAGTATTGAGTTGGTGGTAGGTTAATTGTTGGGTTAATTATTGAAAATTGTGGTAATATTTTTATAGAATCTAATTGTATTTTTATTATGTCTATGATGTTTTTTGTTAGAATTAATTCTAAAGATGATGTTATTGTTTCAATAAGGGAGTTGAATTGATTTAGTGCATGTGTTGTTTGTTTTAATATGAATTCGTGATTTTGTGTAAGTATTGATTGGGATATGTTTGAGAATCGAGATAGGAAGTGATCTTTGTAAGTTTGGTAATTACTCAACATTTCATTTTCAGATCGGCATGGAAATCTTAGTAGAAGTTGTTGATAAAAGTATAATTCACCATGCTCTATTCGTAAGGATCACATGCGGGTGAGAATATGATTTGTGCGTTCAACAATAAAATTCCCAAGATCATCTTGATAAACTGTTCGAAGAGAGTGGGTTGGACGAGTTGATTTGATATTGTATGTTTCAAAGTAAGTTTTATATATCATGTTATCAAATATGGAATTGTGTAGTCTAGCAAAATATTTTTCTATTTTATCAGTCCAATAAGGATCATCGTCAAGTGAATTGATCATGTATAGCGGATAACTGCCTTGGAACATATATTTGGAGGATCTGATGTTAAGTATTGTACTTGTACTGATAAGTTTATAATACATTCTCTAAGTAACAAAAACATGAGTTTTATTGAACCCATCCACCGTGCATGAATAAACTCTCGATAGTGTGATTGTTCTCATATATTGAAAAGGTAGGTTGGTTCTGATTTGCTGATATATTTTGTTATATAATGGGCAAGTCCTTTATTTGTGATATATTGGATGTTCATGTGAGCATTCCATAACATAAGTGTAGGAGCATGATATGGAACTATCCATAGGTTTTCTGGTATTAGACATCGATAGGTATACCTGTAATTATTTGGATCGTAGAATGTATATTCAGAAAGTTGGCATAGAAATCCTCTTTTACATGTTAATCCTGGTGGTGCTGGTCCTTCACATGTAAAGTTACAAGTATGTGTTTGAAAGGTAAGAACTCTTTGATAAAGTTCGGGTTCTAAATTAGGATCTGGGAGAGTGGATCGTATGGTATTTAAATTTATTATTTCTAATATGCTTGTAGTTGTGCAGTAGACTTCATAAAGGTGTGCTGCTCCATGATTTTGAAATTCTATTCTGTCAAAAAAATGGGAATAAGTTTCCCACTCGCTGATTTCTGGATTTTTCCTGACAGACTTTTTAATATTTTGAAGTCTGTGAATAAAATGAAGGGTTGTATGTAGTGGTCTGTTTGTTAGTAATGAATCATGGTTGTCTGTATTGATGAGTATATTATGAAGATGGGTCCACGAACCTTCAGCCATCGACAATATTATAAACAATGTCAGGAGACCAAGTTCATGAATCATTGTGTTTAGGTGCTTATTTTTTTTTTGAAAATAACTATCGCCCGTACGAATGAATGTGGGAATTGGTGTAGTCTTTTCTTCATCATATCGCCATCCATCTGTGTAGGTGCTGCGTTCGATGATTTCTATGGTTGTGAGTAGATGGTAAGCTTCATCAATATTTGATTGTCGAATTAATCATTGAGTATTTTGAAAGTTTCTAAATTTTTCTAATTGTAAGTATGCCCATGCTGGCCAGTGATGATGTAAACGAAATCGATGATCTCTAGAAAGTAAGCGATGTTTTATATATTTTCCAAAGGTATCATGATGTTATCGTATATTTTCGAGTTAATTTCACATTTCATAATAATGTCTATGGCCATCGGGGTATAAATTCTGGAAGAGTAGTGCTTCAAGGTGTGGATTATTTAACGCAATAGGAATTTTGTTTATTTTGTCATTTATTATAAACCCTGCTATTAGATGACGATAATTTGCATCTTCGTTGTAAATTTCAGTAGGAAAATTTTGGTGTGGAACTACTATATCACCTTTTTGAAATAGAGGAGTATTTTCATCAATTATCGAATGAGTAGCTACAGGAAGTCGAGGATTTGTATTTGAAAAAGACGAAAGCATTTGTAAATATTGGTGTATATAGAGATTATGCTCTTTAAGCCAGTTAATAGCATTAGTTAATGAATTATCAAACCAGGGTGGAATTTTAGTTGGAATAGAAGATGAAGATTCCAGGTATACACCCAATAAGCCCGAATACATGCTCAATGAATAGAAATTTTGAGAATAATTCATAGTGTCTACTAATGTTCTATACTCAGAAAAAGGATTTGCACCAGGTGTTCTACCAAGAGAGCAATGTAAGAAAATAAGTGATAGGTATTTACATTTTTTCAATAGTACAGATTCTATTTCTGTTGGTGTTGGTGCAAAATATAGTGGGTAATTACGATTTGGATCTGATTTACATAATTGACATATTGCAATACGATTTGTTGGTGGAATGGGATTTGTAACTAATGGTATATAGTTTGCGAGAGGATATGAAACGGAAGGGTCTTGTTGAATCCAACTTGATTTTTTTGAATACATGAGCTTTGAGCAAATAGAACAGGGAACATACAGGAATTGAGACAAAATAGTATTTTCGAATTCAGTCATTATTTCTTTCATTTTTGTAGATACAATCCACGGTGTTACCTCTGTTTGAGGTAGATCGTTAGTTAAATTAACTTGATTAACGAATTGCGAAGCATTGTTGTTTGAAGATGATAAATCAATTATTTGTTCATTATATTCTAGATCTTCAATTTCAAGAATTTTATATACGTTAAATGACATGTTTTATTTGTTTTTTAAGAGAAGTGAATTATTAAACAATTGTATTATTTATTTCTTATTTGCGTTGTTATAAAATTGATTTAAATAATTATAATAAATTATTGTTTGTTAAGTTTTGAACTTTCAAACTATTTTATATTGTTTTGATGTCAACTTTGTATTATAAGAAAAGATTCTTTCAGTAAAGATTAAAATTCGACATGTTAAATGGCATTATTGATTGACTAACATTTTAACATAATATTTAATGATATTTATTTATTCATTCATATTAAAAAATAGCGGTAAGTTAGTAAAATTTAAGAAGTCGATTTTGCTATGTTATTCAAGCAAGTATTGTATGTGTAATTCTTACATGATCATTTAATTGAAATGATCAGCTGATAATAAAAATCGATATTATAATTATGCGCATTATTTATGTATCGAAATGATTTTTTCTTTTTTCTTTCCTTATTATTATTATTTTTAATAAATAAAAATAGTGGTAAGATAGTAATATTAATATGTCAAGTATTGTATGCATAATTATTACATGATCGTTCAATTATAGTGATCAGCTGATGATAAAATCACATTATAATTATGCTCATTATTTATGTTCGTATAGATTTTTTTTTTTTTCTTTATTATTATTATTTTAATTTTTTTTAATAAAAAAATAGCGGTAAAATGGTATATCGATTTTGCTGTTATGTTATTTAAGCAAGTATCATATGCGTAATTTTTACATGATCGCAGTGATCAGCTGATAATAAAAATCGTATATTATAGTTATGCGCATTATTTTTTGCATGATATTTATTAAGTGTTTATTTACAGTTTTTTATTTCTAAAAAAATTCAAATGATACGACAATAGATACAGTAGAATCATTCTTAATTAGAAAAATAAAAAGAGGGTAATATAATAATAAGAATAAATATAAGAATATATAAGAATAAATCTATCTTAAATAATTAAAAATATATAATTAGATGAATTAATTTAGTACATTTTTTCTATTGGTAAAATAATTAAATAAAAAAAATAATAAATACGAATATTGAAAATTTATACTTATCTATTTTTTTTCAGTGTTATTAACTGAGGAAGTTGTTTGTTCAGATGTATTTGAATTTTGATTTAAAAATTTATTTGATAAATCAGTAACTTTAGGACGGATAGAACGAAAATTAGGTTTAGAATATGGTTTTGTGGTAGGAGTAATTTTTTTATAACAAATACTTCCTTTAACTCTAGATGCAATGGTTTGAGCAATATTGGTCGATTTGTTTTCGTCATCTTTATCTTTATCTTTAGTTTCCCAAGTAAGATGAATCGAATCTCTAGCAGATAAAATCAAATTTTGATATTCAGGGAAAGAAATGCTTCGAATGTGAACTATGTTAGCATTGTCAGTTATCATAAGCTCTCCGTTGATGTAAATTACTAAATGTTTTTTTACAGAGGTAATTACATTCATCAAATGTCGAGCGTATACAAAATAATAACACATTATCTTGATATTAATATAGTCTTGATCAATAAAATTTTTAGATGAAACCTTTATGGTTACATCTTCTTCATCAATTATTGGTTCTTCTTGAGCCACTGCTGTCATATTGAGCAATATCGGAAAAGCAGGTATGTTATTAGGATCAATGTCATTAAAACAAACGATATTATTTAAGACAATCTATATAATACATAATGTAAGTGTTTATGATTATATTATTTATTTTTAAGAGAAAAAAGCATTTTTTCATAACTTACTTTTAATATTGGATATTTTTTGTTATCATTATCTATATTTTCAATGATACGAAAATTTCCAGTTACAAGTATTACATCTCCATTCTTAAATTCAGATAAACTTAATTCTTGAATTGTATTAGTCAGGTAAAATCCGATTAAGATAACATTAAGAGGAGAATTTAAACTTCGAGATCTTACAATACCCAAAGCTTCAACGATTGTAAGATCTTTATTGGTAAATGATTTACGATAATTCATTATATAATATAAGATGGTAACTGAGGCTGGCATTTTTTTTTTTTAAAAAAAAAAATCAGGTGTATAAAAAAATTTGACATTAAATTGATCGGTATGAGTCTTTAAATATTTTTTATTTAAATTTATCAAATTTTTTTTTTTTCAAAAATAAAAAAATTATGAAATAATTATAAATCACGGACATATTAAAAATGCTTCTTATTTTATCAGCAGTTTTAATTATATAATAATTCAAATAAAAAAATCACGAAATAATTATAAATTACAGACATATTAAAAATGCTTCTTATTTTATTAGCAGTTTTTATTTTATATAACAAATTATATACTAAGAATATATAATTAGCAAGTTATATGTTGGGAAATATATAAACAAGCATCAATCTTGATTAGTAAAATCTGATGATCAATGTAATATTTTTTACAAAGTCTCGAGTCAAGTAATTTTTTATAAATCAGCAGTTTTCATCACATTAATTTCTTAGAATAATGATCAAGCTCTTAAACAGGTTAAGTCATACCATTATTCTATGCATTTGAGTTAGTTATCAAATTCTTTCGCTATGGTCTTTCGTTATAAACTTTGGCGATCTGTGATTATCAATTCATCTGTCTTGTAAAATTTCCGGCGAAAAAAAAAAAATTGGTAAAACTTAGAATTGGGTTAATTATTCTTAGCGAAACATGAAAGAAATAGCTGTTTGAAGCTTTTTTAACAACAGCTTACTATTGTGTCGGTATTGTCAAATTTTATCATATGAAATATCAATAGCAAATTCAATATCAATTGCAATTGCAATTGTTTTTGCTCTTGCTCTTGAACTTGTCTTATAAAAAATGATGGATAAAAATTCCCTTTCTCAGAAATAAAATTTCCTCTCTCAGAATTACAAGGAAATTCTGATTGTAAATCCAAATTAAATCTAATCCACATACGGTAGAAAGTTGTTACAATCTAACCATATACGATAGAAAATTGTTACAATCTAATCTATACATGACAAAATACTGTTACAATCTATTCGCAAACATCTATATCGCATGATCATATATGGCATAATGAAACAAGCTAAATTATAATATCGTTAATATTATAAGAAATCTACTAATAAAATAAAAATTAACCTATTAAACAGATGATTAAAACTAATAAAATAATCTATAAACTATGTAAAAATATTAGAAAAAATATAAAATATAATATAGTGCTAAAAATCAATATATACTAATATAGAAAAAAAAAGTAAATTCTATTACAATACTAAGCTCAATAACCAAACTATTAATATAAAATAAGATAGTAGTTAGGTTATGATTAGAATTAGCAATAGACTATAGGCTGTTAGTAAGTTGATCTGGCTGAAAGATGCCAGATAATTGTTATAAATTGATTGTTAATAAAGGAGAAGATGGAATATGTAAGAGATGTTGAATAGCTATTGAGTATACAATATCAAGAAAATTAGCATATAGGTTAAGAGTTTTGTCAAAATTAATATGACAAAGTAATTTTGTAGTCAATTTGTAGGAATGAAGATAGTGCACTTGTTGGTGATTGTATTGGAATTAAGATGACATCCAGGGCATATAGTGGTAGTAAAAGGTAGAGTAGAATAAAGGTTAGAAAACTGAAACTGAAATGAACAGTGCTAGTAAGTGATAAGAGTAAGACCTGTAGGCCTATTGTGCCTTCTGGTCTTGCTAACAATAATTTGATTATTGAGAACAGTAAGTAGTTAGGGTTTGGTATTAGAGCTAAAGTAGCCAGTAGTATAAGAAAAGTAGTTTGACTAAGGTAGGTTAAAATGATTATATAATGTATATTTATAGGAATAGCTAGTAGTAATGTTCTCAAGAGTAGTAAATCATTAAGGTATAATATCTTTAGGAAGTTTGTTTAGTCTGGAAGAAATATGTTGCCAATGTAATAAATATAAATTATCATAGATGGTAAGTTGTTCAAGAAAAAGAAGTTTGTGATATCTAAGTTGTTTTTTGAAAATGGAATATTTAGAATGAAAGAAAAGGAGAAATTCAAGAGAAATAGTTCTATCATATAAAGTGTAAGGAATGTTGTAGATTGGATTAGTTGAGAATGTCCAGCCAATATGTTTGATAAGTTGTATAATTTTAAAGTTTGTAGTTAGGTGGTTAGGATCATCAATAATTGAGTTAGGATGAGAGAAAATGCTAGTTGGAGATCAAAGATTGTTTTGTAACTGTTGAATTCAAATATGAGTAGATGTGCCTAATAGGTCAGAATTATTAAGTTATTTAATAAAATTAAGAATATGGTATTGCAGTTGAATGTTCCAAATATGTTTAATATTATAAATTTGTAAATATAGAAGGGTGCTAAAAGGTATTGTATAACAAAGTTTAGCTTTGAGTTTGACAAGGCCAATATGCTAAATAAAAATTTTATTGCAAGTTGGTTAGTTAATTATGATATTTTGAAATCAGTATTCAAGAATAGAAATAATTACTGTATTAATAATATAACAAGTATGTAAGTCAGTAATATGTTTGGTTTTAGTGATTTGAATTAATTAAGAGGATTTAGAGATAAGTAGTTTTGTTTATTTAAATTGTTTGTTGTCTAAAGTAAACCAACAACCTAAAAATTTAAATGGTATTTTAGAAGAATGAAGAAGAAGAAGATGGTTATTATAAGAGATAGGTATATAGTGAGATAAAGGATTGTTGGTAACCAGAATAGATTTTGAAGGATTGACTTGGATGTTGGCTATAGTATAAAAGGATTTAGCTATAGATAATATATGTGATAGTTCAGATTGTGATGAAGCAATCCAAAGAGTATCATCTATATAAGCCAAGATAGAACATTGTTTTTGTAATGAGTTAGATGTTTGAAGTTTAAGGTTAGTAGTTCAAGAAGATCGTAATTTGTAACCAAAAATGTTTGAGTATATATAGGAGATGAATGGATTATAGTAAATATACTATAACAAGGGAGTAATAGTTTCACCTTGGTCAATACCATTGTGAACTGAATAGGATGAAGTTAAATCAAGATTAGTTATAACTTAATTGTAATAATTAGTAAGAAGATCAGAGAAAATGTTAATAGTGAATAAAGGAAGTAAGAGGCAAGAGAGTGCATGTTTGAAGAGAGTAAAGTTAACAGAGTCATAAGCTTTATTCATATCTTGTGAAAGTAACCAAATGTCCTTATAATTGCAAGAAGCATCTTCAATTAGATTGTTCAGAATATAAATAGAGATTGAGGTATTATTGTTAGAAAGGGCAATATAATTAAAAGGTGAGAGAATAGGATAAGTTGAAAATACAGAGCTAAGTCGATTGGTAAGGATTTTGGTATAAAGCTTACAGATATGTTCAACATGACTAATAGGTCGAGTAAGATTAAGGTTATCATCAAAAGTATTTCATTTAGAGATAGGATAAATGCAATTATGTTTCTATTGCTTGGAAATTTTGTTTTCAAGAAAGCAACATTTAAAAAGAGCAATTATAGCAGAAGTACATAAAGGACTAATATGTTTAAGCATTTTATAACTAATGCCTATAGGACTACAGGCTTTGTTATTAGATAATTGAGAGAAAGTTCTTGTAAGTTCATTATTAGTAATAGGAGAATTGAGGAAATGATACCAAGTTAAATTAATGTGAGAGGGTAGGAGGTAGTGTTGTTGTCAGAAATTATTAAAGAGAGTTTGATTGATAGGTCTGTATGCTATTCAGTCTTGAAAATAGGATTAAACATATTGTTTAATAATTGGTAGGTCAGTAATAAGCTCTTGAGAAAGTTTTATATTAGTAAAATAAACAGGTTGATGGTAATAATTAAGAATGCTGTTGATGGTCTAAGTAGGATGTGTTGTAAGATTAACACATTTTTTGTCAGTAGTTTTGTTGATTTGTTGTCAAAGTAAAAGAGAGTTTTCAAGATGACAGGTATGAAAAAGTTGTTTCCAGATTGAGTAAGCATGTTGAAGCCAAGTTTGAATAAAGGTTGAGTCAGTAGAAGTAAGTAATTGAAGGTTATATTGTAACTGTTTGTTAATTTGAAAGTTGTTTTAATTAATATAGAAGATATTAGAATGTTAAATAAGTTTTTTAACAAGTTTAATAATGTGACCAAGTTTTTTGAGAGATAGGTATAATAGAGTACTATAAGGTTAGTATTGATGGTTGTAGCTATGTTTGTGAGAGATTTTGTTAGGAATAGTATAGGTAGTACTGTAAATAATAGAGCATTGAATTTTATGCCAAGTGGTTTCAATACTCTTATGAATTTTATTATTGGTAGAAGTTTTATATAATAGAAGTTGTTAAATAAAGTATTTACAAAAGATTCTTAGTCTTCTGTAGACATGACTTTGTAGTTGAAAATACAGTAGTTAATGTCAGTATGTTTATATATAGGTTTGCTATAAGCATATAGAAAAGTCCAAGTAGAGAAAAGAATTAGATAATCACTAGAGATAGAAGTTTGACTATTATCAAGACTGTAAGAAAGAAGAAATTGTATATTGAATTGGTCAGTCCAGATGTAGTCAATATGACTACTGCTAGTATTGTTAGACCAGGTGAAGTGTTTGTTATTAAAGTAAACTCCAATATCATACATATTAGAATTATTAAGAAAATTAATAAGTTTATATTTAGAAAAAAAGCTGTGAGTATTATCCTGTATATTGAAGTTACTAAGAATAATAGAATGAATATGAAGTTGTGAGGCTTGTTGAATCCAGTTGATTACTTTATTTTGGGTTTGATTGCAAATAGAAGTATCAGTTAATGACAGGTATACTAAAATGATGCGAAGCTTGATATTACTTCGAAAGAAGATATCAAGTGCTATAGCACCTCTAGGATAAGTATGAATACTGTGAATATGAGGTTTAAGATAGTTGCGAATCATAATAGTAATGTCTTCTATAGAGGTAGGAGAATTAGACCAGTAATAAGTAAAGAAGTTGTTATTGCAGAAAAAGAGATTAGATTTGTCAGTG